CCTCCTTCCGCAGCCTCATGAGTGCTAAGATTACAGAGGAACACCACCACGCTCAGCTGGTTTTTTTTCATTCTCTAGTACTGGATATTGAATCCAGGGCCTCACACATGCTAAGCTGTTACTCAGTAACTAAGCCAAATCCCAGCCCTTCCGGATGTGGGCGGACAAGGTCTCACTAAATTGCCCAGATTATTCTTAAACTTGTGATGCTCCTGCTTCAACTCAAGAGTGACTGGGATTATCAGTGTGCACCACACCTGGGGTAGAAAGTCTGTGGTTCTTTTTTTACAAGGATGCCACCACCATTCAGTGTGGAAAGATAGTCTGCTCAACAAATAGACCTAGTAAAACTAGATATCTTCATACAACAGAATGCAGTTGGACCCTGACCTTATATCATGTACAAAAACTCAGAATGGATCAAAGACCTAAATTTAGGAGCTAAAGTTATAAAACTCAGAGAAAAAATCAAAAGAGAAAATCACTATGAATTTAAGATTTGGCAGTAGTTTCTTCAAAAAGACAGACACAAAAGAAAAAAAAACAGATAGATTAGACTTCATAAATATGAAAATTTGTTCACAAACAAGGCAAGGATATTCAGTCTCACAAGTCTTATTCAGTGTAGTTCTTGAAATGTTACCTAATTAGCCAAGAGAGAAAAAAATAAAAGGAATAGAAATAGGAAAGGAAAAAAATCAAAGTATCTTGATTCACAGATGATATAACCCTATATTTAAAAGTCTCTAAGGATGCTACCAAAAGGCTTACAATTCATAAATGAATTCAGCAAAGTAGCAGGATATAAAATCAACATGAAAAGCAGTAACTTCACTATACACCAATAATGGATTAAGAAATTGGAAAAACAATTCTATTCACAGTAATACCAAATTAATATACCTAGGGATCAATGTAAACAAAGAGGTAAAAGATCTCTACAATGAAAATTTCAGTAACAGAAAATAGCATGATGGGCCAGGGACATGGCTCAGTTGCACAGTGCCTGCCTGGCAACTACAAGGCCCTGAGTTCGATTCTTGGTACAAAATAAAAGAGCATGGTAATCACACAAAAACAGACATGTAGACCAAAATAACAGGATAGAGGACACAGAAACAAACCCACATAACTACATCCATCTCATTTTGGACAAAGGAACCAAAAGTGTATGTTAGAGGAAAAAAGATCTCTTTAACAAATGATGTTGGAAAAACTGGACATCTACTTGTGGAACATTGAACCTGAATTTGTACAAAAAATTAATTCAAAAATGGAGGGGGCTGGGGATTTAGCTCAGTGGTTCTGCTGCCTGCCTTGCAAGAGCAAGGGCCCAAGTTCAATCCCCAGTGCCCCCAAAAACAAATGGAGGGCAGGGTCTGGGGGTTAAGTGTAGTGGTTCTGCCACCTGCTTCACAAGCACAAGGACTGGAGTTCAATACCCAGTACAAAAAGAAATGGGTAAAAGGGAATGGGGAAAAAAAATTCCCTATGATGAATGTGGTCTATATGTATGCCAAATATTTACTAATAAAGAATATAAAGTTGTTTTTTTTTTAAATGAATCAAAGACCTGAGTTTAAGACCTGAATCTTTGAAACTGCTAAAAGAAAACAGGAAAAACACTTGAAACCATAGGTACAGGCAAAGTCTTCCTGAACAGAGCCCCAATAACACAAGAAATAATAGCAAGAATCAGTAAGTGGGACTACATTGAATTTAAAAGTTGCTGCACAGCAAGGAAAACTAAAAAGTGAAGGCAGCCTACAGAATGGAAAAAATCTATACCAGCTACTTTTCTAATAGGATTAATATATAGAATATATAAAGAACTTTAATAACAACACCAAAAATTCAGTAAATGAGCAGGTACTCAAAAGAAGTACAAATGTCAAGAATTTTTGGAAATATGTTCAATATTACTAGCCATTAGCAGATTGCAAATCAAAACTACTTTTAGGTGGAATGACTATCAAAAATATAAAAAACAGGGCCAGGGATTTAGCTCAGTGGTTCTGCTGTGTGCCTCACAAGGTCACAAGGGCAAGGTCCAAGTTTGATCCCCAGTACCACCAAAAAAAATATATATATATACACACACACACACACAAAAGAAAAAAAAAAAAAAAAAA